CTGCATCATCTTCCTTCACTGAAGTCTTGAACCCTTCAAAATTATTCACGAGGTTTGGAATCAACTTCTTCCAAACTCCTATTGATGATGTTTTGACCTTTTCCCATGAACCAGGAATATTCTTAATGACATCCAGAATGGTGAATCCTTTATAGAAGTTTTCATCTTATTTTGCCCAGATTTATCAGAGAAATCACTATCTATGGCAGCTATGCTTTATGGAATGTGTCTCTTAAATAATAATATTTGAAAGTCAAAATTACTCCTTGATCTGTGGGCTGCAGAATGAATGTTGTGTTAGGAAGCATGAAAACAACATTAATCTTATTGTACGTCTCCATCAGAGCTCTTGGGTGAACAGGTGCATTGTCAGTGAGCAGTAATATTTTGAAAGGAATCTTATTCTCTGAGCAGTAGGTCTCAACCATGGACTTAAAATATTCAGTAAACTATGTTGTAAGCATGTGCTGTCACCCAGGCTTTGCTATTCCATTTGTAGAGCACAGAGTATATTTAGCATATTTCTTAAGAGCCCTTGGATTTTGGGAATGGTAAATGATTGTTGACTTCAAATTCAAGTCATCAGCTACATTAGCCCCAAACAAGAGAATCATCCTGTCTTTTGATACTTTGAAGCTAGACTTTTCCTCTCTAGTTTTGAAAGTCCTAGATGACATCTTCTTCCAATATAAGGCTGTTTTGTCTCCATTAAAAATCTGTTGTTTAGTGTAGCCACTTTCAATGATTATCTTAGCTGGATCTTCTGAATAATTTACTGCAACTTCTTCATCAGCGCTTGCTGTGTCACCTTGCACTTTTATGTTACGGACGTGGCTTCTTTCTTTAAATCTCATGAACTGGTCTTGGCTAGCTTCATGCTTTTCTTCTGCAGCTTCCTCACCTCTGTCAACCTTCACAGAATTGAAGAGAGTTAGGGCCTTACTCTGGATTAGGCTTTGACTTGAGGGGATGTCATGGCTGGCTTGATGTTCTATTTAAACCACTCAGACTTTTTCCATATTAGCACCAAGGCTGTTTTGCTTTCTTATCATTTGTGTGTTTGCTGGAGTAGCACTTTTGATTTCCTTCTAGAACTTTTCCTTTGCATTAACAATTTAGCTAATTTTTTGGCACAAAAGGCTTAGCTTATCTCATCTTTCAACATGCCTTCCTGATTAAGCGTAATCATTTCTAGCTTTCTATTTAAAATGAGAGACATTTGAACTCTTAGAGGTCCGTGTAAAGTTATAAACTGGCCTAATTTCAATATTGTTCTATCTCATGGAATAGGGAGGCTGGAGGAGAGGGAGAAAGGTGGAGGAATGGCTATTCGGGGGAGCATTCATAGCACACATGTTTACCAGTTCAGTTCACTGTCTTACTTGAGTGCATTTCATGGCACCTCCAAACAATTACAGTAGTAACAGAAAAGACCACTGATCACAGATCACCGTAAGAAATATAACAATACTGAAAAAGTTTGAAATACTGTGAGAATTACCAAAACGTAACATAGAGACACAATGTGAGCAATTGCTATTGGAAATATGGTGCCTGTAGACTTGCTTGATGCAGAGGTGTCACAAATCTTCACTTTGTAAACACAGTATCTATGAAGCTCAATAAAGCAAAGTGCACTAAAATGAGGCGTGCCTATATTACCATTATTTTCAGAAAGGATGGGCCAGATAACTGGCTATTATTACTCTGTGTAGAAGTTAATGTTTATGAATTTTTGTCCCTTTAAAAATTTGGTAAGCTGTGTTCTTTTTAAAACACTTTGCCAATGTGTCATAACTGAAGAATATCTCCTAAAAATAATATGAATAGAAATTTACATAAAAAAGTAGCAAAAACATGAAATTTCTATTTAGTGGAAGGGATAATAATACTGTGGTAATTGCTAATAGTAATATAACTATTATATTCTCAATATTGTAAAAAGACAGTGAAATAGAAAGTAAATTGAACAGAAAAAGTCATTTTAGTAGCTGGAATTTTATGTCCAAGTATACTGCATGTGGATCATTTTTCAGTAAGAAAAAATATGACAATTGATTAAAAGAACTTGAGAGTTATGTTTTACAAAATTATGGCCCTGTGTTATTTATGCTTTTCAAAAGATAATAGTTTATATTTCTGAATTTGAACTACTAATAAATACATGTTTTCAGCAGGATAACAAACTTGCATCTTGTCCTATATTTTCATCATTGCATTGTTGTTTAATGAAATCCATAATTTCCCTTGTTGATAACAAAAATCATCAACATATAATCATAATCAGAATGTTTTTAGTGTAAGTACTTTAGTTGTAAAGTAAATATCCAGGATTGATGATAATAGGATAATAACTAATAAGGGTATGCAATCAAATGGGAATTGTTTGATTATAGGCATAGAGGTGAAAGAAGATAATTATGCATTTAACCTAAAATGTGACCAGAAAGGAATCAATTTTAATCATAAAAGACCTATGATCCAATTTATTACCAGGTTTATTCAAATATTATTACCAAGGCTATGAGAGTGGACTTGCTCTGTTTTCAACTGGATCTATGAAGGCATAGCCTTTCAAGGAGTTATGTTCACACATTTTCATTTGACTTGGGAAAGAAGCTTTGCTAATTACCTAGAAGGATACCACTTATAAGCAGAACATTATGATTTTTAAAAAGCATTAGATCTTCCTTCTTCTCATTTATAATGAAGCCCATGGGCCAGTCTCTTCTACTTGTACTTTTGAATGGAGAGATGTATATCTTTTGACGTTTAGTACCACAAATGTTCTATTATGGGGAAATCTACCCAGAACATTTAAGCCCATATCTACAAGGTCCTACAGGATAACTTCACCAGATACTCCCAAGTATTATCTAAGATCAGAATTCTTATAGACCAGCTACTTAGAATTACTCATTCTTGCAACTTTCTGGATCCCTGTCAGCATTTTCTCTCCGGCAGCTTCCTGGCTTCAATTCTGGTACTTGGAAGGAGAAAGGAAATGAAACCAAAGAACACAAAAGAATAATGCAAAGATGCTCAATATCACTAATTATCAGAGAAATGCAAATCAGAACTACAATGAGGTATCACCTCACACCAGTCAGAATGGCTGTCATTCAAAAATCCACAAATGACAAATGCTGGAGAGGCTGTGGAGAAAGGGGAACCCTCCTACACTGTTGGTGGGAATGCAGTTTGGTGCAGGCTATGGAAAACTGGAGATTCCTCAAAAGACTAGAAATAGACTTACCGTATGACCCAGGAATCCCATTCCTGGGCTTATATCCAGAAGGAACCCTACTTCAGGATGACACCTGCACCCCAGTGTTCATAGCAGCACTATTTACAATAGCCAAAACATGGGAACAGCCTAAATGTCCATCAACAGGTGACTGGATAAAGAAGAAGTGGTATATTTATACAATGGAATACTACTCAGCCATAAAAACTGACAACATAATGCCATTTGCAGCAACATGGATGCTCCTGGAGAATGTCATTCTAAGTGAAGTAAGCCAGAAGGAGAAAGAAAAATACCATATGAGATCGCTCATATGTGGAATCTAAAAAACAAAAACAAACACAAACAAACAAACAAAAAAGCGTATATACAGGACAGAAATAGACTCATAGACGTAGAATACAGACTTGTGGTTGCCAGGGGGGCAGAGGGTGGGAAGGGACAGACTGGGATTTCAAAATTGTAGAATAGATAAACAAGATTATACTGCATAGCACAGGGAATCACAGAGGAAAAAATTGATAATGAGTGTGTATTATGTCCATATATGACTGAAAAATTGTGCTGAACACTAGAATTTGACACAACATTGTAAAATGATTATAAATCAATAAAAAAATGTTTAAAAAAAAGAATAATGCAAAGAATTCTACTCAAGTGCCCAAGACTACCTTGGTTAAAGTATCTCTGGGGAAATGTTGATGATTCAAACTTAGTTTTAGTTATTTTAGCCAGGAAAAATTTGGTGTGAGGAGTCCTACAGAGGAAAAAGCCCTTTTCTTTCCCATCATCTGAGTAAATGTTAATGTATTAAAGTCAATGTTGCTGTGAGTAGGTGGATCTTTGGGTATGAACTGAGGGGAAACTGTGGAGACTCTTCCTCTCCTCACACTCATATTCCCAAAAGACCTTCCCCAGTGTCTGCTGTGAGGCCTGAAACCCCCGTCATTAGAATTTCTGCCATTTGTGGTAAGCATTGCTTTCTCCTTGCAGTGTTCTTTTAGAACTCCAATATTCCCGGGAGTGAAAAAAGTAATAAATACATATATGTCTTATCATACTCCTGTCCTTCCTGATAAGGAAATACCTTGTGCAGCCTGAGAACTTAGAGAAATTGAGGAGGAGGAGGAGGAAAAATATGCCACACAGACCAAATGAACCCTTATTGAGCACTTACTACATTCTCTAACAATGTTCAAAGATTTCTGTGATGATGATAAAAATGTTCTGTACTGGCCACATGTGACTTGGTTACTGGAATATGTATGTTTTTAATAAGTAAATGAGGGAACAAAATTCTCTATTTCTGTACCACTAAGGGAAGGCAAAATAAGTGATCCCTTGAATGCCAGAAATTTTCAGCTTCAGAAGAGAAGGCCAAAATGTTCTTTTTATGGGAGACCAAACTTTCTTTGTAATAGTAGGAGGGTTTTTCCAGTGTCATTCTAATCTTAACTCTTCTTTCAGTTATATATAATTACCCTACGTGGATAATGAGTGACTGGTCATTATCCTGCAGCTCTTAATTTTCTTCTCTAATCCTGATTCTAGTTTTAATCTTTTCAGCTGAAAAGTCTCACCTTTCATTTAGCTATTCTCTCGTAATTTTAATTTGCAGTGTTTCTTTAACTCAAATATTCTTTTATACCTAGTTGCTTTACTAAAGTTTCAGCTGTAGAGGATTAAATTTTATGTTCTAGAATTCACCCGTGAGCTCAGCTCAGAATACTGAATATAATTTGCTTTTTTACAGAGCCTGGAAATTACAGAATTGATGACAGAGGGAACTGCTTCTCAGTGAAGATGAAATATGTGAGTCTTCTCATCACCTCTTAGCCAATTAATTAACATTTTCTCCAAATGTGAGTTTTTTGTTTTTACTTGGTAAATTAAACAGGATGTTCAGATTGTGTTTTCTAGACCCTAGATTTTTGTAGATAATTTGTTGCTGGGACTTCTGTCCTAATGAAGTCTGGTAGTAGTACCTCTTTAGGTGAGACAACTAATGTTACCTCTGCCCTGGCATTGAGTCCAGCCATCTGCTCTAGGTCTGTCTTTCATACACAAAGGGAAAATACAAAGTATAGCCGACTTGGTGGTGACAGCTGGTGGGAAAAAGAATCATTGTGTTTGACAGTGTCCTTTGGAAACAGACCAGGTGGTGAATCAAATACAATATACTGCTTCATCTTATAGATGCATGTAGATTCGTTGGAATTTTAATTTCTGACTCACCTACCTTATTTTTACTTCTTAAAGAAAGCCCCTCCTGTCATACACTGTGTCATTTACATGTCATTAGATAAGGGTACTGTGTAGACTAACATCGAAGTGGTTATTTCACTAAACAAAGTGTTTGCATTAACTGATGCCTTGGGGATATGCTGTTTGTTTCAGCCTCTGTGTATTTTTAAACCAGAAGCGATCATGGGCAGAATGTGTAAATTCTAGGGCAAATGGTCATCTTAGAGATATTACTAAGCCAGTACTTTATTTTTTTCTCCATTAAAAAAACTCTCTGTGCTAATTAATAATAACTAAGTGAGGAAAAATTTATTTTAGATGAATAAATTTACATTTGAACAATTGGAATTTTATTCCAAACTATCTGGAGTAAATCATATTCCAGTCTGTTTTTGCAACAAATTAGTTGTTTCAATTTTTTGGTTTTGTTTTTCGGTGAGCAAGCGAAGCAACAGCAAATCCTTAAACATAGTTTTGGGAAACAGCTTTTTATCTAAAGTAAAACCACATTAGGATTGTGGTGAGGTAGGTGAAGAGGTATGAGCATGTTAAATGACAAGGACATTTCTTGCTTTCCTTTTTGGAAAGTGTCTGGAATTCATGGTAATTTGGTTTTCAGCTTTGTACTTGGAAACTTACTTTTATCTTTCCCCAAAGGTCAATGTATAAAACCCCTTTTCTGCCAAGGAACAATCAAACAGGAACACAGGATCAATGAAAGAGGTGGTAAAAAGCTACTTCATTTTTTTTTTCCCTTTGGAGAAATATAAAAAGCTTATTCACTAAATATGAAACCAAGTTACCTATTATTCAGAACAAACCTTTTCTGGAACAATGTGAAGCATGAATTATATATTTTGCATTATGAAATAAAGTTAAAACAGCAAGGAGAAAGGCAGGCACTTTAGACCAAATCAGAATGGGAGAGAAATAAATGCACAAGGAAACAAAGATGTGTATCTAAATCCCTCTAGATCTGTATTTCTCTAGATAAATATATTTAGAATTTTTATCTAAATGAATATATCCAGAAATTTTAGAGATAAAATCTATCTATCTATTGACTGATTTACAACAAGAAGAGGTAAAGGATAAAAGCCTGGATTATTTATAAGTGAAGAGCTTATGTCCCTGGTAATAATCTGCCATACTTTTAACCTGGGGCTACTCTCAGTACGAACATGTCTTAAGAGATCTCGTTGAAATTCTTGATTTTATTTGTCATTTGACAATTGAGTATTTATTGAGGGATTTACTACTTGCAAGCTACTGTGGTGGGTTATGGGGAATGACTGTAATATTTGGTGAGCATACACTACATGTCAGGCACCACTAGACAAAGCCTTCCATGTGGGTTATTTTGTTTAATCCTACAACAATCTTGTTAGGTAGGAGCTGTCCCACCTCTCCTCCCTGCATACAATATTTAGAGAAAATGAGATGGAGACGTTAAAGCTGATTAAAAAAACTTTTTAAGTATCTTGATTTGTGGTATTTTCGATTTCTGTTGTATAAATGTACCTACCATGACCAGTTTCAAGCTACCAACAGTTTAATAAATGGCTTTCAAAAGTTCTGAGTATTAAACTATTGGTGAGAGCAGTTAAGAGCTGGTTTAGTGCACCACTGAAGGTCATTGTCTACATGTCCTCAAAATACTTACAGTAAGTATAAGATTATGCAATGCCAGCTAGAAAATAAGAGGAACCGGATAAGGTGGCATGGAAGCTTAGAACAGAGACATATTTTCATTTAGCCGTTTCTTATAATTTTAATTTGCAGTTAGAGATGGCTGTGTTATGGGGACATTAAAGTGCATTTTGAGGGATAGGTAAGATTTGAAGATGTAGAATTAGGGGCAGAATTGCTGGACAGGATGGGAAAGCATGAGTAACTACTGTTCAGTGTTTTCTGCCTTCTCATTCTTTCCTTTTTTAAACATTTTTTATTGATTTATAGTCATTTTACAGTGTTGAGTCAAATTCCAGTGTAGAGCACAGTTTTTCAGTTATATATGAGCATATATATATTCATTGTCACATTTTTTTCTCTGTGAGCTACCATGAGGTCTTGTGTATATTCCCCTGTGCTATACAGTATAATCTTGTTTATCTATTCTACAATTTTGAGATCCCGTCTATCCCTTTCTGCCTTCTCATTCTTAACACGTACGTGCTTTTGGCTCTAATGCAGCAATACTCTTAACAGCCCACAAGGTGGTGAGATAACTCCATCCTTTTCTCCATGTAACTACAAATGATAAAATACTCGTTTTATGTAAGCTGGGCAGTAAGTTTTACTCTGTTGAAAATAAGGACAGAGTTTGCAAATGCTGGTAGGAATTGTGATGAGGAATTTCAGAGAAATGCTTTCTTATGCCATGATATGTTTAGAGTAACATTTATATACAATCAAAGAGAAATTCATCTTCAAAGTATAACTTCAGTGGGTATGGAGTTCTAAGATTACTGAGTGAATATGTTTGACAAATAAAATAAAATACTATGCAGAGACATTAAAGTTGGGAACGTGTTTTATTTGTCTGACAGCTAAGAATTGGATATTTCTAAGTTTCGCTTTTATTATAAAAACAAAA